CAGATCGATCAGTGTTTGACATCCGCGAGAGCGATTCGAAAGCGCACGGAGCAGTCTGCTCTCTTTAGCTCTCGTGGTACTGTAATACACAGATCGGTCTGCACTGCACAGTCAGTCCTCGTCAAGTCGAACACACCTACTAGTTTACACCGGTTACACTTAGAGATGTGGCACACACGTGAAGCTGTAGTGCGAATGCGTCCCAGCCCCCTTAGATATAAGGCTACATTTACACTGGTGCGTTTATGTTTTTAAAGGAAAACGATCCTCGTCATACTGGCGTTTCAAGCCGGCTTTCCACTATCTCCGACAAACAACAGGCGGCAGACCGGTCATTCAGTCATTCATTTCCAATGGAGAGTAGCGCGGGAGCTGCGTGGAGTTCCGATCATATGCAGTTGTCCGTTCATACTACACGACCGAAAGCACGTGTTATGTGACCATTCATGCAAACTGTAGCATCATGCTATATAAGACAATAAATAAGATTCATATTCCGCTTTTACTCAAACTCACTTTAAACCACCATCGAGTGTTTGTAATAACTTCCGATTGCCGTCTAATGTGTGTTTTGGCCATGTAATGCTGCTGAAATGAAATATGTTATTACCTCTGACTCGGAGTCAGAGCAGCGATCATGGAAGAGAGAACACAGGCAGACAGCGCTGAAAGCTGCGAATGCTCATCAGTAAATCAGTGGGAAATAAATAGAAATCATGATTCTGTCTGAGCTATGCGTTTTAAAACGAACACGCACTAGTGTAAACGTAGCCTAACAGATGTGTAAACTGAAGACTATTTGAGCTTTATTAACTATTTGCACTGATTTATTGTATTGGTTACATTTTGTTCCTTTGTGCAGTGGCTCAGGAGATGAGTCTTTGAGTTTGTATAAACATCAACAAGCTTTTTTTTTTTTAGATAATGTAATCTTGTTAAAATTAATTTCATAAAATTGGTATCGAAAAAAGTATCTTTCAGGAACCGGTATCGAAGTCAAGGTATCGGTATCGATATAAAAAATTTTTTGAACGATACCCAGCCCTATTTGCAAGACATAAACTCAGAATTCTGAGAAACAAGTCAGAACTATGACATAAACTGAATTGTGAGATGTAAACCTGGAATCGCAAGAGGAAAAATTATGACTTCTTTTTTTCCTCAGAAAAGTCCAGATTGTGAGACAAAAAGCTGCAATTACCTTTTTTATTATTTTAATTATTCTGCGGCAGAAACAAGCTTCCATAGAAATATATATGTAGACAGTTGTGTAAACACAATATTTTTTTATTATTAATTCAAATAATAGGCAGCACATTGTCTTCCATTTTGGTGTATCTTGAATTTTTCTGTGTACAAGTAAAAGCTAGTCATTAATGCAATCTCTTCTATCTGCCCACGGTTAAAAATGTATTAATTAATTTCTTAATTTTTACTAGTTAACTGACATGCATAGTAATTATTATGTTTAATAGCTGTACTTGTGAAGCTTTTATTGTATGACTTGGCTTGAAGCCCAGGCTGGTTTCAGCAAAAGATTTTCAGAATGGACAAAAAGAGGCTATGTTCTTGTCTGTGCCAAACAAAAAGGAACACAGGGAGCTTTTATTCACGTATGGATACAAAAGAAGTGTTTTTGCCCTTAACTGCTAGCCAACATCTTATATTTGTTGTCTTCATTTTGAAGAAAACATGGTCCAACAAGGTTCCAACAAAATTGGGTGTACTTCAGTATTTGAAGAACAAACACCAATCAGTGCAGTTTGACATTTACGATTCAGGTCATCTGTAACGCCTTCCTAAAGTGTACTTACTGCTTTTATTGATTTATGCTTTTATTTCACCCCAGAGGCATGTATAGATCTATGGAACTGGTATTTATAGTTTTACATGCCATTAGTGCTATTTTCCAGTTTTTCAGTGTTCTGCAGTGTGATGTGTTTACTAATACATCTAATACTATTTCACACAACATTTTCTAATTCTTGTTTGATTAGTATACATGCCATTTTAATGATTCTTAATGCTATATGGGTTATTTCTGCTCAAAAATGTATTCATCACACCACGAGCATTTTAAACAAACAGCAAGCAAAAGGTGCAAAAAAAATAGGGGGGGGGGATAAGCCAATTTCAGCACCTTAAAATTTTTTTTTCTAATGTTATGTCAATGGCCCAGTAGCTTAATTTGTTTCTTCTTACACATTATAACCTATAGTTACTGTTTTATCTGTGTAACTGTTAATTATTTTGTACAGTTATTGTGTTTGTGTAACTAAAACCAGAGCGTCGATTTATTTTTAGAATCATTCTTGCTGTGACAACTATGATTCTGATACACATTTAAAAATGTTATGTTTTGTTTTATAATGAGTTTCTTTGATTTATTGCATGAGCCTAACATAACACTGTCAACTTTTTTTTGTAGTTATTTTCTTGTGACACACTAGTCTCAAAGAATTAGCTGTTGTAATTTGTAATTTTTTTTATCAAAATTTACCTCAGTTGGACCCATGAAATTGTGACATGTATGAGATTATGTGACAATGCATCTTACTTTTTTATTTCCATAATTTTCTTGACAAAAAGACAAAAACTCAAGATAACCTTTGTCAAGATCACAAAACAAGATGGTTTACAATGATGTATTTTTCCTTTCTTTGGGATATTTTACTTTGGCCAGTTCTGCTTGAATGTAAAATCGACGTATTGAGCTAAACTTGACTGCTTCAATTCTTTTTTTTTCTTTTCATTTCACATGCATTTGGCATGTGTGTTATGATGTTGAATGAGATCTTTCATTTGTAACATTGACTATTTGAACTCTGTGTACTTCCATTTGAAGCACTCTGGTTGTTTCTGGATTTCAGTTGTTAGAATGACGATAGAAGTTGTAGATAAATGAATGAAGTTTTGAATGGAAACTATTTTATTAGTGCTCTCAGACTATTGGACCGTATTATACTGTATATGAGAGTCCTCAACATCACCTTCAGTATTATCCTCTGAGTCAATACAGGCAGCAAACATCATCTCTGTTTAAATATGAAATGTCTCGGGCGGCAGGACAACATCCAGGGTTTTTAAGGTCAGTTCTCAGTTGTAATTGGTTCACTGCTGTGTGTTTCAGGTGATGATGAGCTGTCCAGTCCCTCCCAGGATGCAAGCACTGGATTAGAAGACGTGATTGAGCAGCTCAACAATTCCTTCCCTCACAGCCAAGGTGAGAGTCCAGCTACACTGTCTGCTACAAACATTTCCGTTAATCCAGCAAATTGATGCAGAGAGTCTCAAATTAGCCAAAAAGTATGCACTTTTTTTTTTTTTTTTTTTTTTTTTTTTTTTTTTTTTTTTTAAGGTGCCAGTAATTGCAAAACTGATATAAGATATAGTACTATTTTGGATTCCTTTTTAAGCAATATGGAGAAAAATATTATTTTGCGACGAACACCACCTGTAAATTTCTCTGACCCACTGCTTTTCTACTCTTTGCATGATTAAATTGCTATGTGACACTTTATGTTTCTACGTCCTGCTATAAACGGATGACGAGGGACTATTTTAGTATAACATATTTAAAAAAAATGACTTTTAAATGACAGAATGAGTCTTCAACTGTAAAGAAATTATTAACATTGATGTACATTCTTCTTAAGCTGTTTCTCTTTTTAAAAGTGACTCTTAACAGGATATGTATTGTGAGAAGCACAGAATTGCAAATGCATAACAATCCAAAAAAACGTACAGTATGTGTATGTAATTAAAGCATTAAACATCATCTTGTTGCATCCATTGTGCTTGCAGTACAAATCCTGTTTAGATCCAGTCTAACTGCCTATCCCTATTCCAACTTTACTGATTTTTCTTATTTCCTGTTTTCCTCTGTGTCTAAGGAGGTGGACGGCTAAACCCGTGAGAGGTTAGTATCGTTACTAACCCTTTACTCTTTTCACTCTTTTTTTTGCTCCAATACTTGATGATAAAAAAAAAAAACCTTTGTTAATGTCTGGAAACTGGTCGTCACAGTCTATGATTGCATTGCATGTATTGCAGTAGTTTAAGGTGCCAGTAATTGCAAAACTGATATAAGATATAGTACTATTTTGGATTCCTTTTTAAGCAATATGGAGAAAAATATTATTTTGCGACGAACACCACCTGTAAATTTCTCTGACCCACTGCTTTTCTACTCTTTGCATGATTAAATTGCTATGTGACACTTTATGTTTCTAAAAAAAGGTTTTTAAACTTCTATGCAATTGTACAAAAATAGAACGACAGGTGTGTGATAACATGCAACATTGCGTGCCATGTCTTTGTACGGAGTGGAGCGCATTTAAAAAAAAAAGTGTTTTATCTAAATGGGTGACTGAGTATACGCAAGGGTGCTTTATCAACTAATTTTGTTTGTAACAAAATAACAAATGCATATTAAAAGGCAAGCCCGTTATACTTGTGCGTGTGCGAAAGAATGTGTGTTTGAAACATGTCTGTATGTTTTTCTGTACAATATGTAACCTGTCCCGTTCAACTACTGCAGACATCATGCAAAGCAAAGACATTTGTCATGATTTATTATTATTATTATTATTATTATTAAAGGCATACTGATTAAGGTTAAATACCGTCTACCTCACAGATATTCACTTTCTTCATGCTCTGTCCGTGCTTATTAATGGAGCAATAAGAAGCATGATCATAGTATTTGTATATTATTGACAACTCTCATGTTAGAGATATATATATTTTTGAAAGCTTGTTTCCACCACGGAATAAAAAAAATGACTTTTTGTCTGAATTCTGACTACTTTTTTTTTCTCAGAATTGTGACAAACTCACAATTGCAATCGAGTTGTGAGATTAAAGGCACAATATGTATTTTTCTGCCGCTAGAGGGCACGTATTCAAAATAAACAGAGGCAAAGGCGTAGTTTGATGACGCCGTGACTGAGTGTGGAATCATGGGAGTTGTGATCTTCATCCCCACAGCTGATGCAATCCGACTGGACTCATGTTCATGGATGAGCTAATGATTTATTAACGTAGTAGAATGAAGCAGGGTGAGGCTGAAAGCCGTCGAAGCGAAACGAAGCCGCTGAATGAGCGTGACGCACGGCTCGAAAGCAGCGGAGGTTTTATTATGCCACAGTCGACCGCGTCAACTCCTTCCGGTCGTGCGTATGTGGGGGAAAATATATAACACTGTTCTAGTGGTTTTTGGATATTTTAATAAAAAAATCTTACATATTGTGTCTTTAATGCATTAATTAACATTCATGGGTAAACTAAATCAAACAGCCTCTCTAAGAAATAGTAAGAAATACTCTGGCTTTGAAATAAATTAAAATAATTTAATATCATAATTTGAGCTTTTGACATCTTCAGCTTTATTACTGATCTTGTCTGTTTTGTGTTGTTCTCTTTCCCTTTAAACTCACCCTGCTGTGACTCATAAACGGCTAAATAAAAATAAAACCTTAAAATCCACAAAGCATTTGTAGAACAATCCTAAATAAATGCCCAAACCGGAAACGGTTCACTGTCCATCCAGACGCAGGCCGTGATGATACTATACCTCCGCTCTCTGACTTCTTGAAAATCCACACCACATCTCTTACTGAATACTCGCTATGTTAGTACATGTGTATTTGATAGCAAGTATAAAATAAATCATGAGCTGTGTTTAGTAAGTAGTTAACTGTCAGTTAATTATGATTGGGCCCCCTCAAAAAAAGTCATGTTACAATTTTAACTAAAGACTTTTCATTAAGACCTTAAAGAATCATATCAACTTGTGGAAAATGGGCATCCCATGACCCCTTTGAGATTTTCTTACCCTTGGGCCATCCAAGATGTAGATGAGTTAGTTTCTTTTATTAGAAAAGATTTGGAGAAATTTAGGATTACATCACTTGTTCACCAATGGATCCTCTGCAGTGAATATTTTGTTTAAAACTGTTTTGGGCTGTTGAATTTGAATTACGCACACGGTATGAATTTTTGAAAAAACGGCATACCAGTCCAAGTGGCTAAGCAACGTAGACCGCACCTTGAATTGAGAGGCACAGTCAGTGGAAAAACCATGATAAACTGTAAAACCATCAGAATCCTAAAAGATAAAAAAGTGAGACAGATTTTTGGTTAAATCGCCCAGGGGTGCGTTTCCCAAAAGCAACTATGGTCGCAAGTTCCATCGTTATCAATAGAGTTCAATGGAACTTACCACCATAGTTAGTTAACGATGCTTTTGGGAAACGCACCCCAGCACGGTTAATGTTAATCCCTAAATATACTATTGTTTATTCATAATACATCACCTAATGTTAATTTATACAATGTGAATATTCAAAAATGTATATAAACTAATAAATTCTGTAGAAGTATTGTTAATTGTAGAGTGTTTAGTATATTACTTTTTACTGTGGTATCAAATCAGTATTGAGAATCATCAAATTTCACTGGGGAAAAGTTAGTATTTCATGTTCATTAGGTTTTTTTTTTTTACTGTTCAGTGCACAATAGTTTTGTTTTTCTCCATACAGTTTGCACATTAATGTGCATCCACTTGATTTAAGATGTTAATCATCCTCCTTTTAATGCAAATGAGAAGAACTTTGTTCTTATTTTGGACAGGCCTGTATATGATAAACCAAGTGTTATTAATGCAATATATCTGATGAAAGATACATATTTAGTGTAAAACCGCATGCTCTTACAATGGTGTACCTGCAACATTTAATTTATCTTACTTAATTAATGCTCTTCTTTTGTGGGTTGGAGACATGTTCAGTAATCCCTTATAGAGACACACATGCACACACACTGCAGTAATTGGATTTAAGTTTTTGTTATTTGATCGGTACTTTCCTCAGGCTGTTTAATTAGAGCTGCAGTAAAGCTTCAGTGCATCTGCATTCTGCTGTTATTATTGCTGTGTGAGTGCAAGCATTTACTCACGTTTGTGTGTGCGTCTGGGTGTGTTGGGGTAATTTAATACACATTATTTATGTGCCAAGGAAATAATTTGCTCTTTTTTTTACATTCTATGTATGTAGCCACTTCTGATTGTCTTGCTGGTTTAGCATTATTTTATTTTATTTTTTAATATGTTGGATTTGATAATCAAATGATTTCATCTGTTTATTTATTAATTGCAAGTAAATACTAGAAAGTTTCTGAAATAATGTTTAGACAGAAACATGTCTGTATGTTTTTCTGTACAATATGTAACCTGTCCCGTTCAACTACTGCAGACATCATCATGCAAAGCAAAATTTGTTGTCATGATTTATTATTATTATTATTATTATTATTAAAGGCATACTGATTAAGGTTAAATACCGTCTACCTCACAGATATTCACTTTCTTCATGCTCTGTCCGTGCTTATTAATGGAGCAATAAGAAGCATGATCATAGTATTTGTATATTATTGACAACTCTCATGTTAGAGATATATATATTTTTGAAAGCTTGTTTCCACCACGGAATAAAAAAAATGACTTTTTGTCTGAATTCTGACTACTTTTTTTTTCTCAGAATTGTGACAAACTCACAATTGCAATCGAGTTGTGAGATTAAAGGCACAATATGTATTTTTCTGCCGCTAGAGGGCACGTATTCAAAATAAACGGAGGCAAAGGCGTAGTTTGATGACTCCGTGACTGAGTGTGGAATCATGGGAGTTGTGATCTTCATCCCCAGTCTTTGGTGTTTCAATGTTTTCTACAAAACAAAACCGGAAATCGAGGGGTTATGACGTCATTAGCAGGTGACACAATGACACTATGGACACGGTCCGTGTCGCTAGTTAAAATTGCTTATTTCTCTGGATTTAAACATTCTTCGAAACATTTGGGATAATGTAAGTACACAAGTCAGCAAAATATATAACACTGTTCTAGTGGTTTTTGGATATTTTAATACAAAAAATCTTACATATTGTGCCTTTAAAAGTTGCAGTTACCATTTTTATTACATGGTGGGAAGAAAAATTTAATAGAATTGTTAGATGTAAACACTGAATTGCTAAGAAAAAATGTCTGAACTTAGTTCAAATCTCGCATTTCTGACTTTTTTCTCAGAATTGTGAGGAAAAAAGTAAATTGTGAGATGGAAATGTTGTAAATGGGCTTCCGTTCCTTACAGAATGAGAATTGATCTAGTGCTTCAATCATATGGTGTTAGTTGTATTTCCATTTCCAAGTAACAAATGAAGAGAAAAGTACATCCAGTCCACTTTACAGAAATGTTACAGAATTGGGGTTAAGTGTTGTTAAAAACTAAGCAGTAAGAATATTTGTCAATTCTATTGAGTGAGCTCTAATAAGAATAAATGAAAGGTAGCACATACTCAGTGTTATAATAATATAATGCCTGATTGAACATTTTCATCTGGGGTTATTTATTGTCATTGACATCTATACATGCTAGCAAACAATAGCACTGAAAATCAATTTTTTACAGAAATACACTTGAGATGATGAAATAAGACACATGATTCCGCTTTGCATTGTTCTTTAACACATCCGAGTTTGTTTCTGTGTGATTGAGATGTTTGTCATTTTATTTGTGTGAACACATATATAGAAATAAATGATCATAATGTATATGTATGCACAACCGTTATAACTACAAAACAGTTTGGCACCTTGGAGATGAGCATGTCCAGAGTACTGCATATTTATTTCTGAGATGAGCTATTTGATGCTAACTCTTGTTCTGGAAACATACATTTTATTTGTAATTGCAAAAGGAGTATTTTACCAGACAATGAAATGTAATTGTGGTTTTCTTAACTTGCTGCTGCATTAGTTGATAAAAATGGAAATACTTTTTTGCCACCGTTTGTCTGTTTTATTATAGATTCACTGTGCCACAGTGTAGGTAAATGATTGCATTATCATCTGACATACTCGGCAATA